CAACAACAACAACAACAACCACCCATCTTTTCGGTGCGGTCCTTGTACATATGAACAGCTTTCGACGGATGGATGCCGAGCTTCGTCAATGCCTCATCCAAACTCGAGGATTCCCCATTCACAACCTGCAAATACGCATCGTACTTGTCGTCTGCGGAGATGAGCTCTTTGACTCGTCGCCCAGCGCGAACGTCCAATGGACTGCGGCCGTACTGGTCCCAGTGCTGATTCATGGCGTCCACGCACACACGTATGAGCTCACGGACTTGTGAGGCAGCCGCCTTCTCCTGCGTGGAGAAGAACCACAGCAACGCCGCCAGCTCACCGGGCTTCATGTGATCCTTACATTTGACTTGCCACTGAATCACGCCCGTCCGCCAAAAATCTCCATCCTGGGCTTAACTTATAACTTAAGCTGATGCTTCAGTGGCATTCAAGTCTCACGGCTATTGAGAAGCAACTTGTCGTCCATTTGGCTTTCGTCGCGGCGCACATGCTCCAGCCAGTCAACAAATGACTGCCACCAGCTCACCTGAGGAAGCCCTTGCTCCAGTCGGCATTGGCCATTATCGATTGGAATGTCGACCTCGCCCACGTGCAGAAATAACATGAAAACTTTGCTCCGCCCACAAAAGATTAGACTGCATACTTTAGCTGCCTGGTCACGCGTCCAATCTTGACTTTGTCGATAATTCCAGAAGACAAGGGTTCCAGCCAGTCCCTCAGCACCATAGCCGCCCTTAGCACCCATCATACATCCACTCGTTGATTCATTGGTTCATAATCATGGTCATACTAAAATAAACAACTCACCGGTGTCAAGTCACGTCCGTGCATCACCAGCTTGCCTCTGACTAGCACTGACCCAATGCAACAGATGAACCATCAAGGATTCGGTCGGCAGTACAGTCTCCGGAATGTAATTCTTTAGCACATCGTTGGCAACGAAAGTATCACAGAATCGTCCGGCCCGGATGCCACTGGGAGCACAAACCTGGGATGATCAATGGATGCAACCGTGCCGCTTGTGACTTCTGTGTTGCACCTTCTAAGAAGCATCATCACAAATTGCAAGACATTCGCTAATACAGACATGATGTCCCAGCTGCTGCCATACGTGCAGGCACCGGGAGGCCTCGTGCCACATCCGGCCAGAGCTTCTGTAAAGGCTTTTCTGCCTTGTCATGCACCTGGAAAAACGTCCTGCGCCAAGACAGGAGCCATGTTCTACATTATTGTAGTTTGCCGAACCGCTTTTCTACGATCAGCTGCAAGTGCACAGGCAGCATTGGTGTGTCCTGCCACCACCATTGCACTTCGTGTGGAAAGGGTTTGCCGGCCACAAAACGTAGCCAGTGTCACGGACGACGTAGAATCGCAGGGACGGCAGTGTGACAGAGGCAGCAAGGGTTCGGGTGATCACGGGAGCATCCGCCATTTGTCATACTCTGACTGCTCCTACTGGTCCTACCGTACTGTGTAGTTAATTGAAGCGTTGACTGCAACGAAGCGTGGGCGGGACCTGGCTGGGAGCTTGAATTTTCTGGACTCACATGGATCGGTCGTTAAGTTTGGGCTTGAGGACTAGCAAGGTTGGCTCTGAAGTGGATGCCCGGCTAACATTGACCAGCATCCATCAGCTTAACTGTGGGGCCTGAACGGCATCGTTGAGGACTCGCGGGCCTTGAATGTCAACTGTGCAAGCCAGATGGATGTGTTTTAGACCGAAATTTCATAGTTTACTGCTTCGGGGCAGCTTCATGGCGCCAAGGGAGATGGTGGGCCACCATATAATGCTTATATAATAGGCATTTATCCTAGATGGCGGGGTAGGGTCTAGGGGTAGGTCCTGGCAACTCATGAATTGTGGACTGGGCGCTGCTTGATGCTTGGCGGTACAAGAAGCCGGACCGAATTAAGCAAGACTACGTGTAGTAACTGGGTTGCTAATGGCCTCAAGTCCTGAAGTTTGCCATTTCCGTATGTCCTTCACCCAAAACTACAAGTAAGATACGAGTACCAGTTGCTAGCTCACCATTCAAAAGTAGCCCCGCAACCCCTGCGGCCTCAGATTCCAACTACATTCAACACGAACAACAGTACGGCAGCCGCTCTGCATGCGCCACGCTGCGCCAAACTGCCCAACGCAAGAAACTCGCAAGGACCTGCCTCCCTACCCACAACACTAAGCTTCTCTTTGACACCCAAAGAAGATGCAAGACAACGATTTACAAAAGCCCGGATTTTTTGTCTTTCTCGTGAGTGGGCAACCAGGCACCGAGTTCCAAGACGTGCTTTGCCATCAGGCCTAGCTCTGAGACAACAAAAAGTGAGCTGAATTCTTTTTGCCGCCTCCTGTTGAGTCTCGTATGTGCGGTCGTCTGATATGTTTGATATGTGCTTCGAATTACGGTATGACTGCTGTACAGAAACTTGATGACCCCTTTGACCAGACTCCGGCGACTCCAAACCACAAGAAAAACAACACAAAACAAAAGAGCGACGAAACGGGACGACCTGGAAGAGCCCCCACAGGTCGAATGAAGCTTCGCAGTCGTTTGAAGCGTGTCTGGCCGGCCCCAACTATGTTGCAGAAGGTAAAGATCCTTTGCCGGCAGTCCATGCCAAGCAGATCGAGTGGAAAGATGTCATATGACATACAGCATCGGCTCTGGGAGCCGCACTTCAATCCCAGCTGAATCGTTCCTGTTCCGGCCCTGCCGAGGCTGTATGAGGCTGTCTGCATCGTGAATCTGCCAACTCGACATCAAAGCAGAAAGGCTGGCGATGTCCTACTGTTCGGTTTCGAGGTGTCGAGGCCCCATAGTCACATAGTCTGCTTCGACTTTTATACAGCTCCATGCTCTCGCTCTGCTTGCTGAGATCACCCGTGGCGCAGCACTTCTCGTTCTCGCTTTTCTTAGATCGCCCAGCCTTTTGCCACCAGACAGAATCTTCCACTGCTTCAGCCTCAAGCCAAGCTCCGGAATGGAGAAAGTCCCGTCATGCGCAGCAATTGAGTGGGCTCGAAGTCTCAAAGCGGGAAGGAGCCGAAGCAAGATAAGCTATGATAAGCCTGAGGTTGGCACATGCCGATGTGATCGATCATTAAAAAAGCGGCCAAGGATGCCTGAACCGAAGAAACCAGCAACGACCTGAAAAAAACCTGGGCTGGTGCTTTCACTCGCCTTCTGCAGTAGCTCAAAGAGTCGGTCGACAGGATCATCTATCTTGAAACACCTGTACAGAAGGAAAAGCGCCCGCTGTCCGTCGCTGTCTCACATCGGCGCTCTCGCTGAGCCGCCCACGCTGGCAGGCCCTGTATCACCGGAAACTCCTGCAGAAATGCGTCAGCAAGTGTCTCAGCGAGGAGACGCCACGTGCAGCGCCAAAGAGGCCTTGCACCATCGGTGAGTTCGCCGTGCACTTGCCAATTGGACCATGACTGTCCTGCGGCAGGCACGTTCGCCGAGAATCAACAAGATGAGGGCCGACGCCACTGCAGAGCCACTGCACATGTCCTTGCATTCCCCTCAAGTTTGGCCAGTAGCGTCCCTGCCTTAACAGCACGTCCGAGGATGTCATGCTTCCGCAGCATCGCGCATGCTAGGTACACAAGACTTCTCGACTCTAGACTTAGACTCTTCGGAGCTTCCGAATGGAGTAGGGTCAGGACTGTCGGCTGCAAGTAGGCTGCGCTTCCGACGATGCATCGCGAACAGTACTGGAACATACGTGCCAGCTTGTCACGACCCTGCGCAGCACCAACTTGTCCACGGACAGCAGGCAAGCAGACCTAGGAGCGCAATTGCAGGCCTCCGCCTTCGTGAGCAAGGCATTGAAGTCGGCCAAAGAGACATCCTCCGGCATCCCGCTCCGCACGCCAGCAAAACAACTTCCAGAGATCTCGCAAACTCCGAAGTACTCAAAGCGGGTCCGAGAAGACCCGGAAGGGCTTCATGAAGGGCTGCAGCATCATTTCGCACATGGCCTTCGGCTTCGGCTTCACGCAAAAAAAAGACACATCTCCCCATGCCCTGAGGGCCTGCGAGCAGCTGCAACCCTTGGGACTCTCTCGCTGCGGGGGCCAACTGGCCAAAGGGGCCGAGAGCGCAAACGCTGCGGGGCAGAAAAACAAATTCGGCATTTAAGAACACCACGGAGAGAGAACCAGGCCTCCCCTCAGGCGACGTGTAGCAGCAAAGCCCCCCGTAGGACGGAGAGTCGGACAGGCGCGCTTTTTTTTGCATGGGGGATAAGCTGGAGCTGCGCACTCAGATGTCGAGGAACCTCAATTTCTTGACATCCCCGACCTTAGCCGCGCACGCGGCCAGCACTCCCAAAGGGGGCAACATCGGAGCCGGCCCTTGCCCTTTAGGTTCCTTCCCTCCTAGACCTCTAACTCCTGCCCTGATGATCCGAAATGATCTGAAGTACCACACAAGCTAAGCTGAGTCAGGGATGCCGAAAGCTTCAGAACTCGAGATGAGGCATGATGAACACTTGAAGACTAAAGCATGGCAGGGTGGTGTCAAATGGAAGATGCCTCTGCTCCCGGCCTAGCTACTTGTACCAAAACTGCTCCAAGCCATGTCTTGGGCGGCCTGCTAGAGCTGGGCCTGAATCTTCTTACCAAGGAGCGGAGATTTGATCTTACACTGGCATTGTTTCGCTTGACAGTGATATCTTGCCCGCGACCTGCAAAATGCCCAGCACAGCTGAAAGCTTCTGGGGCCCCTGCCACGAGGTACTGCGCAGGTAGAGGGGGTGGGGCCGGACAGAGTAGCTGCAGCGCTGCATCTTCGACCTCGACGGCAAAAACGCATTTGGTGCCCCGCCTGTGAGGCCTGATTGGCGATCCAATCGCAAACAGCGTGCTTGTTCCGCAGAAGTTCTGGTCGCAGTGCGCATGGTGGAGAGAGGGGGGCTTGACGCTTCAGCTGGCACCTTCGTCACCAGAACAAGGCCGCACATGGGCGCGAAGAGCACCTGACCAGAATCCGAACAGCGGAGGCAAACTCCGAAACCTTCATCCTCACCTCGTTCATGCTGTTCGCGCGAACCTGAGACGAGAAAAGGAGCCGAGTGGACAAAAAGACGCTCTGGCTGCGCACCACTGCCAGCAGCGCATGCTCCAGGTCTGATGGTTGCCCACTGAAGGGTCGGACCTGACGCCATGTCTTTGCACGGATGGGCAGGGGGGGAACTCACTTCCTTGCACTTTTCCTCCCGCGGCGTCTTTGGCAGCAAGCATTGCTCATGCCGGGCGACGACAATGACCAGAAACGCACGGAACGAGAAGGATCCCTTGAAAGCTTCTGCTCGCATCTTGGCCAAAATTCCTCCTGTTCCGAGTAGTTTAGGGAAAAACTCACTGAAAAGGAAACTGACCAAAGAAGGATACGACGTCTGCAACACTTGCTCCCCTTGCCAAGTGCAGCTCGGTCATCTTGATAATCCTATGATTCTGCATGCGGTCGCTGGGTTGCGTTTCACCTGATTGTCACCTGAACACTCGGTTGAGATGTCGAGGTTTCTTCATGTTAACCTCCAGATGTACTGGCCTTTCGTTTCAATGTGGTATCGTTCATGCGGCCCGGCTTCCTCGTTCCATCCGCTCTGCTCCACTTCGGGAGGTTTCGGCCCATGTGGGCAAGGGTAGAAACGGACTTTGGGCAAGCTTCGCTGGCCCAGCGTGGTGCTGGTGCAGCAAGCAGTCTTGCTACGAAGCTGTGCCGCGACAGGCTTCAAAACACAATTTGCGTGCAAGACCTGGAAGCCACTCAGACACTTTCAGCAGAAGGCTCTGGGAAAAACCCTCCATTTACCGTTCGCGCAAAGGATCGGTGCGACACCAAAGAGACCTGGTGTAACTTATCAGCCAGCTCCGGCTGTGATTTCCACTGCTTCACATTCAGGACGCCAAAGCCTGCGGCAGCCGAGCAGAGCAGATCAACAGCGAAGACTCCAAGTGGACCCCGACCTGGGAAGCCAGTCCGAATGCCAGAAGAGGACCAGGGGCTCGCGCCAAGCGGCTCCAGCCCGTGATGCCCGGGAGGCGTCTGACCTACGACCGCGGCCCCGCTATCGATGTAGCTGTCAATTCTTGAAACATATCCAACTGCAACAAGATATATATATATATATATGTATACATGTACATGTGTGTGTGTGTGTATATATATATATATGTATGTGTATCTGTTTCCGTCTTTCTGCTCAGTATCCCATTTTACGCAGCCGGCCTTCTGGCCGAAGCCTCTCTGGGAGTACTTTCAGCACTCTCCGAGCTCTTCTTTCCTGCCTCTCCTTGCCACTTACCTCGACGTAGATGCGACCGAACTCATCAGGCTTGTCCTTGGGAAATTTCGCTAGACTGCGAAAGGCGTGCGACAGTGGAGTACGCAAGTCTCCATCTTCCCACCACCTCTGTTTTTTCTCAGATTCTGGCAAACTCGGTAGTACTACCACCAAACGACATCCCAGCGCACCACCCGTTTGGCATACCTCCGTAAATCCAAACCCTGACGGCGCTGAGTTTCGGGAAGTCCGGGTTTCGGCACGCGGCTGGTGAATCGGGATCAAAAACACTCCGATAAGAAGAAAAGCAACATCTGGATCAGTAGTAGTTGTTGTTGCTGCTGTTGCTGTAGCATCAGCAGCAGCAGTAGCAGTAGCGGTAGCAGTAGCGGTAGCAGCATCAGCAGCAGCAGCAGCAGCAGCAGGAGTAGTAGTAGTTGTTGTTGTTGTTGCTGTTGCCATCGTCGTCTGTGAGAGAGGGATACCCGTTTGTGAGTGTTCACGGGCTGCAAATAATGCAATTTACAGCAGGTCGGAGTTTGCTTTTCGTGATACCTACTGCCATTTGAGGTGTTATGGATCCCTCTTTGGCTGTTTGATCCTTATCTGAACTTGTTGATCCTCGTCCCGGAGGGAGTGAACACCGTTGGTACGAATGACATGGACTGCAGGGAAGAAAGACCTGGACAGAAGCGTTCCCCAAGGTCCCCACTGCCACGACGGTGCCGAGGGCGCCATTCAGGTCCTTCAGAAGTATGCACCGCCTTTTCTTTCCCCGCATTTGCCCCATACTCCGGAGATCCGACTTCGGCTCCTTGCGGTGCTCCAGGCCCTGCAGTCGAACCGCAGCTCCTCGGCACCAGGCCCGCGAGGCCCGCAGCGGTTCCTCCCCTTTCGGCTCCTGTGAAACTCGGGGGTGGTGCGTGTTTGGCCGAAGCGTTTTCTGCGGTCCTGGGAGCCGAGGTCCAGAAGCCGGGAGTTGGAGAACATGTGCTTCAGCTCTTTTCCAGCTGTTTCCTGTCAGATCGGAAGAGCTCCTGGGAAAATCTCTCCAGCATCCCCTGACCTTGATTAGCAGCGACTGGCGAGTCGGATCTCTCTTGTTGTACGGCTCGCGGAAATCGTATCGCGGCGGCATGGCGTCACAGGTTCGGCTTTACCAAAGAACCGTCAGTCGAGTCAAGGCTCCTCTCTTCCTCCCTTCCTGTGCTGTGGCGGGTTTTCAGTGCGCGGACTGCTGCTGCTCTTGACATCATGCTTCGGCATGGCTGGTGAGCCTTCAGTGCAATGCTGCTGTTGCGAGCATAGACACGGCACAAGTCGACTTGGCGATGGCTGGCGGAGAACTTGGGCACTCACAATGAAGTCCACAGACTTCTGCGACTCCTGGCGCTTTGCACAGGTCACTTCACCCCTCTTCATTCTGCTCCTCTCCTGGCGGTGAACTATGGGAGGTTGCTATCTCGAAAACTCTAAAAGCGAAGTTGCTTGCTCGGGGCAGACGAAAAAATTCTGACTTTCGGAAAGCCGGCAGATTGCCGGCAGGAAGGTTGGCGCTTCAATTTGCAAACCTAAACTGACTTCTAAGAGTGCTCTCCATCTGGGACTGCACTGGGACGTGGAGAGGTTGGCCCCCATCGGGCGCAAGCTGCGACGGTCAAGTTGGGGGCATGTGCTTCAGGCAGGTCCTGTTCAACCGTCCCCTCTGCCTGATCGGAATATGAAGCTGGCCGCCTAAACTGTGAGAGGTCCTTGCCGAGTGGAAGCATGGAGGCAGAAAGTGTCGCCGTCTCGATCTGCACGAGCTGTACCTGTAAACGGAGGCTGTCGTGTGGGACCGGTGACCGGTGGCATCTTCGACTCAGGGTGCATCACCGAGGTCAACCAGGACAGAGAAGGGGCTAAAGTCCCTCATCACCTCGGGAGGCGAAAGGAAGGCTCCTGAGTCTAAGATGCAACCGAGGCGAAAAAAACACCTAAGCCAGGCACGCCGTGGAAGTAGTCTCGGACTCTCAGAGCCCGCATGAAGCGGATCCGCTTCGAAGCGGCTTGCACCACCCCTCCAGCCTAGCCGAACCGAAGACAAACCTCTGCCGAGGACTCGCAAAGGATGCCGGACTTTGAGCCCTCGCTGCCTTTGGAAGCAGAACCACCTCAACCTTGGGCACGCCATTGATCTTTGGACAGCCCGCAAACCTTGGCCACCCCCTGACTTCATCAGTTCTGCGAAGGGATGAGCCGGTGTAACCACAAGCTGTCGTCAAGCTGTCCCTCAGCATGCTTGGGGCACCAGCATCCTGCAAAGGGCAGCGTGAAGGGCTTCGCTGTCCAGGACCAGGACGACATCGATCTGGGTCGAGCAGTGGCCATCCGAACGGTTTCCAGACTCATCAGCAGACAGGAACGAACATTAGCTGTGCTGCTGAACGAGATACAGTTGCCCGTGCCTCAAACATCTCGATGATCTTGTGTAAAAGTTCCTGAGCTTCGCGGTCGAACAGCGCGTAAAAGCTGCAGAAGTTGCATCGTTTCAATTCTTCTATTGCACGACTCTGAACAGTTCTGTGAACGTGATGGAGACCCCTGCAGAGAAATGAAGTGCTAGTGCTTCCGAGACCCTGGCCGGAGTGGGTTGGAAAGGCGCATTGACGACTAACCCCGAGGAGCTCGTGCGAGCACCCTGCGAGAAGCGGACAAAGGCGCACTGCTTTTGCCGTAACCCGTGGTAACCCGTGGTAACCCGTGGCCTCTCTGGAGCTGGCATGCGACAGCCTTCGCTTCTGAAAGAAGGGCGGACTTTCTCGCAGCCGCAGGGCTCCGGGGTTCCGGGGCTCCGAGGCTCCGACTTCGCCGAAACCACACGGCTCAGATGAGACACCACCCGCTGATACCACTCCGGGTTCGCACCTGCACAGGCTCAGCCGAGCTCTCCAAGAAGCAGTCGTCGTGGCGCAGTGATTTGCAGCAAGGCTGCACAACGTCATCTAGGGCTCCGACTCCACTCCAGATGACCATAGAAGTAGGCGATGCGATTCATGGGCTCCTCGCACTCTTTCTACTACACATGAACAAACCATAGAAATAGCGTAGATTCTCCAAGACTGGCCAAGCTTGGCTTAAGATTTGGCTTTCCCGAAGCCTCATCAGAAGCGTGCTCCACCGTCATGGCTGTGACGCAAGCCGGGACGCTCTGGCACAGGAGAGGAATCTTTTCGAGCGCTCAGGACTGGTTGACGGCCTGCAACTGGCGAATGCTGGAGTAGCGGGTGTCTAGCTCGACAAAGACCGGAGTGTGCTCCTGGCTTCTGGCGCAAGGGCTTGAGTCCTCGTCTAAGTTCTCCCCATGCACAGGCCGGCATCACCCGTCTCAATGCATAGTTGCAGAGAATCTAACAGGGAACAACGGCGCAAGACATCACGAGCGTGAAGACCTCAACTTGCGCCTGACAGAGGGAGCTTTTCCCGGAGAAAGCACTGCCACACACCTGGGCGTGGCTCCGATTCTTGCGAACGTCTCAACACGTTCAGAAACAGCAGAAGAGTATGCAATGCTGTATTCTGTATGCTGTCAGAGGCAACAGGCTTGGAGCATGGCTAAAACTCTAGGGGCAGGAAGCCCGAGATCGTCGGCTCGCATGCGGCGCTGCTCGAGCACTGCCTCAACTAGCAGTGACCAAGGCCAATCTCGCAACTTCACAATATGCAGCAATTGAAATGCTGTGGAAGTCTCCACAAGGGCACTTCAACGTTGCTCTGCGCATAAAAGCAAGACAAGCTCCCATTGGCAGAGCGACTGCACAGCACAAGTAGTCGCGCATCACCACATTTGGAGCGTCGTACTCCTGTACAGTGGGGCCAGAAACCTGCACGGACAACGACAAAAGAAAAAGCATTCAATCATGCACACTGACACTTCCCCACCTGCACTTTGCAGCCATGCCATGTGTAAATGGCTGTGCGGGATCCGCCCAACAAAGGATAGTCCTTGGCCGCAAAGCACAGGGGAGATTGCACCACTTCAGGAGATCTGGTAGCCGGCCTGTCCAGGCACCAATTCCGCCCCAAAAATCTCTGCGCTCGTCTCGGCCTTCTCTGTGTTTTCAGAACCACAGAAGAGAATGGACAGCGGCACAGCGCAACCTCAGGCCGGGACCGGCTGACCAGGCCGTGGGTTGGGCACCTGCTCAGGCAGCAGCTTCACCTCGGCTGAACGGGGCTTCCACAGCTTGGCACCGCCTGCAACGCGCAACGGACGTGCGCACCCTGGCGTGCTTGTCGTCATCCACGATGAGCCGCAGCTCGCAGCCCGGAGCCAGGACCTGCCAGCGAAAGTCCAGTCCAGTCGAAACAACAGCAAGCGAGAGGCCCCAGCCCGCGCCTTCACGCGTGGTGCAGTCGGGTCCATTGCCATCTGCAGCTGGTCGCCAACAGGCGGGGTGTAGACCTCCGACAAGGACCCTTCCAGGAGAGGCACAAGTAGACGCAGTCAGCCTGCGGCACACCCAGAGCGAGCGCCATGGCGAGCTAAGCTGGCGAAGTCTAAGAGTCTATCTTGGTTGGATTCTCTGGAGTTTCTGTCTCCACGGGCGGCTCAGCGGCGCGCGAACACTTGGTTGACTGGGCTCATGGAGCCGGGCTTCGAGCAAAGCTTGTCTTCATCCGTTCAAAATACACTGGTAGGCGGCCTCTATATACGTTTCTATTTGGGGTCGCAGCTGCAGTTTCATAGCTGTGAATCTGCGGGTTTACTTAAGACTGATTTCTGTGCCTGGCATACCTCTGCTTTCATGGCTATAACCAACTCAGATGAGAGGTGGAGCGACGCGGAAACGCTGCAGTCCCTGCGCAAACTCGAACTGAGACTAGTTGGCAACCATGCCACACTGATTGCCTTTTGGGTCTCGCTCCGTGACTCCGTGGAGGCCGCATGGGCGCCGCATGAAGTGCCTGACCTGGGCCAAGTGCAGGGTAGCTGGCAGCAAACTGACTAAAGAGACTCACCAAGATCTGATCCAAAGCCTCATTTTTCCTGGTGGCACTTGCCCCGAGTGCTTGCAAACTATGATATGTCTAGCTCAGATTTCTACTACCTCTACTACTGCCCTTTGGCAGTACATGGGGCAAACACGGCCTGAAGCCGGGAGGTTGAGCCTACGGCCTCCACGGTCTCGCCCAATGAGGCAGTTGTTTTGGGCAACACTTCAAATGCATCTATTCCAGTGGCCTCTGCTGATGCTGTGGCGACTTCTGATCGGCCAACGCCTTCTAGATTCTAGAGGCTGAACTGCGATAGACATGTCTAGATTCTAAATGCTCCGCTCACTGTTGCATCGTTTGTCTACGGAGTTGATACTCTGTCATGGTATGCTCAAGCCATGCAAGGGCTGCAGCAGTCGCGCAGTGTGCAGTGAAAACCATGTTAGCCTACCGACTGCAACACGACACTTGGCTAAGAGCGCGACACCATGACTACGTAAACTTTGCAGCATCGCGAAGCTGCATCATGAAGGAGGGGATGAAGACGAAGTACACCTATGGAGCAATGCACTCACTGCCACTGGCTCTTGTAGCTTTGGAGAAAAATCTGTGCTGCGATAGGGGCGTGGCCGAAAAGAAGCCAATGACTTCAATCAGCGCCAGTAGGCCCTAGAAGGCGAGGCCAGGATGAAGCTAGCAAAACAAGCTCGCGGCCACGGGCGCTGCAGCTGTTGTGTTCTTGGCAGCCGAGAATGAGGCAGTGCATACAAGCGTAAAGTTGAGAACGTCCTGAGCATCTTCGGAAGACGCCATAAGTCACTCCCCGAGACGTTGAAAGTATATCCTTCCCTGAGGCACCGACAACGGCACACTCTGAGCTTGCCAAGGCCTGAAACTCGTTTTGAAAGGCCCAACAGCTCCCTCGCGACAAGGCTTTTCCAAGTGACCCACAAGCCAGCAGAGATATCCGCCCCAAACCATCGTGCCGCCCTGCACGAGGAAAACGACCTCGCAATAACCCACAAACTTCAGACCTTTCTGCTTGTGCAGATGTCGAGGCTCCTGACAAAGGCCAGAAAACCATGAATGGTCCATGTCCTGGCACTCCGACGACTTAATGACTGCTCACAGAAGCGCAATTCAGACTCCTGTCACTGCCATGTTCCGTCCAGGCCATCTTGGCATAGAGCACCGCACTGATGGAGGCCACAAGACCTGGGAGCGGAAGCGGACCCGGCCCCGGAACCGAGAAGCGCAGGAAGTCGGGCAGCCGCCAACCAGCGCGAGGAACCACCACAGCGGTATGTCGCAGCTTTGTCGCAATCTGAGAGGTCACTTCAAACAGCGAAACGTGGACTGCAGCTCAGCTCGCGCTCTCCACTCATTCATGGTCTCGCCACATTCATGGCTCATTGCCAAGAGCCCCACAAGCTTGCAAATATCACCTCGCGCAAAAGAGCGAACGCAAGACGGTGCTGGTGCAGTGAGGGACTCCGGCAAAGCACCGCAGCAAGTCCCTCACACACCGATGCAAAATAGACTGCAACTCCTGCATCCGAGTCTCCCCGAGTGAACTTACAAAGAAGAGGAAAAAGTCCATGGCCATCGAGATTACACACCTGACATCATCAGAATGAGTGCATGCTTCCTGGCCTTGGGCCTTAGGGTTACAACTGTCACAGGACAGAAGCAGCCAACAAAATAGCCGGTGCACAGCGCCACACTTGGGTTATCCAGCAAAGGCGCAGGCCTTGCGTAACGGTCTCAAGCTTCAGAGCACAACACGGAGGTAGGCATTTGGAGGGGCTACCTTCAAGTAGATTCCATCGTCATGCCTGCGCACCCTGTCGGGCTTTTCCATCGGACTGCCAGCTGTACAATGGCACGGCCAAGGAACCTCTTAGAAGACCTCGGCCGAGATGGACTTCGTGCCAGATTCACTGCTCGCTCTGGAGCCCCTGGGCTTGACGGTGCCTGTGACCTCTTGAAATGCTAGTATGCCGCGGTACGCCAGTCACTTCTAGTCTTCGAAGACGGGATCTCGGTTCACGATTGGCAAGTGGGTCACTCCACCTCTCATGGCACTCTCTAGCCACCAAATGCCTAAGCGCATCTGGACGCCTTCGATCTGCAAGATGAAGCTGCAGGTTGTATTGCAGCGGTTCAACACTGTTCCGACTCCAACACCTGGTTGCCGTGTCTCTCCCTTCACCACTATTGGCTTCTTGGCTCCGATATGCATGTATGCTGGCTGCTTGGCCCCCTGGATGTTGTGGCCGGGCGTTATGCGCACCGCTTGCCCTTTCTGAAGGTCCAGCCACATCCGCTTGCCCGAGCCCGAAGGCAAGCGCCGGCCGTCTTTGTCGTAAGGCACCAGCGCTCGCTCCTGCCTGGGCCAGACCGGGGGGCGCACGATGCTCAGGCCAAAGCCCAGCTCCGGCAGCAGCAGTCGCAGAATGTCATCCGACTTGCCGAAGAGACGCAGGGTCATCTTCCCGTCCTGCGCTGTTTGCTGCAGGTTCAGGATCACGGTGCCCAAGCCGCCGCCCACTGACGGAATCACCTCGAAACGCTCGTCTCGTGGAAGCGTCACAGGCTCTGCCAAGCGGTCATCCTCTTGATCCGAGTCCTCATCACTTTCGCGGAAACGTACCTGAATCGTCTTCTCTCCTACCGCCGTGACCAAGCCCTTGAGACCACCCGGCCGTCGAAGCGAGATCCAGGCACCTGGTGCCAGAACGCCTGACCCGGGTGCTGGTGGCAGCAGCGTTCGGTCAGCAGTCTTCGTGGCGACCTACAGGACATACCAGAGAGCAGCATCACCACAAGGAATGATTTTCCCAACCGTCGCCTGGTCGGCGTTGAGACCGCCCAGGCTCGTGCCAAGGACCAGGCAGAGGTCAGCCGTCTCCGCATCTTCCCGCATCCACGGATAAGACTTGTCATGGAGGCTGCCACTATACTTCACCACCTGATCTTGCAGCGAAAACAACATTGGACTTATAAGATCTTTGGCCGGCCAGGAATTGGAAATGCAGGAAATAATTATTTTGCATTCTTTTTTGCGTTTTTTTGCGCAAAAAAGACGAGCCGCTGGGTTGCTCGGGTCGTACCAACTGCCGTGGATCTCATTGATTCGCTCTTGAGGGAATCCGGCCTTGCAGAGGAAGACGCAATTTAGGCAACACGGGGCGCCTCCCGTTCCCTGAGTCTCCCCAGGCCTTCTGTGGGAGGCCATCGTGGTTCTGCTGGACCCAGCCATGAAGCAAACCTTGTCGCCCTCGGATTTTGCACGCGGAACCGCCCCTTCTTTCCCCTTCCTTCCCCTTCTCAGGCTGCAAGACAAGATTCCCAAGAATCCCAACGCGTGATGTGTAAAGGTTGGCGGGGCTGCACGTGTGTTGTTCTTCCATCCCACGGTGTTCTGACCAGAAAGGGCCGCCTGCCCAATCACAGCGGCGGAGATGCCTCAGAAAGGAGCGCCTTCAGCACCCGCCCTCAGTTTCTCTTCCAAACTGGACTCAAAGAGAGGACAGGTTGCCGGCACCAGTGTAGGCCACAGTCTTCCGGGACAGCTTGATGAGCTGAGCCAGCTCCTTGACCTTGGCCACCGCCACCTGCGGAACTGCGGCTAATGGCACGAAGCATCGCACGAGAACTTGGCAAGCAGACCTCATTGACACCGGAGACAGGGTCTCAGACGCGGGAGCGGGAGGGAGGAGAGTGAGGGGGAGAAGTCCTGAGCAGCCCTGACCTCCGGCTGATCCTCGAACTCCGTGGCTGTGAGCCACTTCGGGCAGGAATGGTCTTTCCGGGGTGGTTGGCTGCTCTTCCAAATCACCTTCGGCGCATGTAGAGGACCCGTGTAGCCTCGTCCGAACATGAAGCGCGGGTCTGAAGGGTCCATGAAGGCGCTCTCGCGGAGCCTCTTGCAAACGCTTGCACGGCCAGGGTCGTCTTCGGCCTTGCCCTCGCTGGTGTCCTCAGCACAAGAGCTACGAGTACCCAACCATACCCTACCCCGTGGCGAAAAGCTGTCGAAATGTTCTTTCAAGCGTCTCGCAGCAGCTCCGGTGGCGGCGGCGGGCTGGACTCTGCAGGCTCTGCGGTGTCGGGCTCGAGGATTGCCTCGTCCGTGGAGTCACAGCCCTCGATGCTGCCACGAACACCATAGATGTCACTGTGCGACTCTGCACCATCCCTGTCATCTGTCGGCGCAGGAGGAGGTGGAGGAGGGGGGGGAGGGGGTGGACTGAGTGGAGGCGTCTTTGTCTCGTCGCTGCTTGGAGGAGGCAGCGAAGCCAGTATGCCGGAGGGCACCTCCAGCTGCCCACTCGCGTCCTCCTGATCGAACTGAAGCTCCCAAGATGTCCTCAGACTCGTGCCCTCTTTGAACTTCAAGAGAACGGCAATCTCAAAGGTTCCCCAACCTTAGATGTCGGCATGAGAGACGAAACTCTGGGGAGCCTCCCAAAAGCTGCAACTGAGGGTCCCCTTGATTTGAATTCGAAGGGAGCTGCATCACAAGTGCGCACAGGATCTTTGAAGGTTGGATGCAGTTTGATCGTCACCGAATCAAGGAAGTCTGTGGCACCCCGGACGTAAAACGTCCAATTGTATCGCTTGCCGTCTTTCGCGGGAGTTGCGGTGTTGCCCAACACCAGGTGGTGCACCATGGGTGCACAGGTGGGTACCAAAGGAGCAGTGATTCTGAGCCCACTTCGACGAGCAGTTGAGCAGAGGCTGGCTGTCTGTTGCACCTAAGGAAAACTTGGGCTCCCGGCCCTCCGCCTCTGCGGCGTCGCATTGCAGCCCTTGGGAAGGCATGCAGGCTTGCACTTGAGAAAGCGCAGTCGGGGAGTCGGGGAGTGGCAAGAAGCTCAGCTGCGCGCTGCTGCGTTCCATTGAGGCTCGGTCAGCCAGCGCGGGCTTCGGATTGCCGGGTCCTCCTTTGGAGGCCCAGTCCCAGTCTTTGTCGGGGCTGTAAGTCGAGCCTAGCCTGGCTGTTATCCTTTGCAGTTTGTTGGTCGTGCACAGGTGAGGACTGCAGACTGCCTGCTGGGCCCTTAGCTGCCTGAGGCCTTTCATAGCATGGCCATGTTTTGGGCCTCACAGCCAGGCAATGCTCTCTGCCATCGAAAGAAAAAATGTGTGCAACAAGTGCTGCATAGTGCTGCAGTGACTGCACACAACGCAAGGGCTTTCTCTCTACCCGCAGTCATCCCAGCCGCTTGACAGCCAGCGTCGGCTTTTGAACCTCAGGTTCTGGATGCACACCAATGACCTGGAGCTTTGAGCGCTTCGGAGCTCGGCCTCTGCTGTCACAGAGGCCGGCCAACAGGGCCGAGGGGTGGAGACGCCCTGCCAGGGAAAGACTGAAAGCACGGCTTCGCCAAGCTTTGCACTTTGCACGCCATCTGACCTAGAAAAGCAGCAGCGTGGCTCCTCGGTAGGTCGGGTGCTGGTGAACGAATCCTGGTAATTCTGTGACTGTCGAGGAATAGACCTGCTGAGCCAACTTCCAAACTTTCCTGTTGCGGCGAATCTCCATCATACTGGGCTGTCACCCAGCCCTGGAGATGCCCTGGAGGAGTACCGTGCCTACTCGCAGCAGCTCGTCACGGCGCATGTCAGCCTTGTCAGTTCGCGGGCGACAGCTGCTCGCCAGCAATTTGTGCAAGCTATTTGCAGGTTTTGCTGGGATCAGCTCCGGCTGCCCGCTTTCTGGCGCACGCCCTCGCAGCATGGCCCCAGAAATTTACTCGTGCAGCAGCACGTCTTAAAAGTGACGAATGTGTGGAACATGGCTGCTGCTGCTGCTGTTGGGAGGTGGCGCTCCCCTCGGGGGATGCCAGCAAAACAAACAATACATTTACATAGGAACATAACGGCCCGGAGGCTCTGCGAAAGAAAGCACGAAGCTTCGTAAGGCACGTCGAGCTTCAACGAGCTTCAGTGAAGACCGAGCTGTGTGAGCAACGCCAGGACGCTGCCTGCAAGGCTGCTGCTTCCAATCCTACAGCTTGCCTACAGCATCCGACTCTCGAACCTGCAAAGATGCCCAGGATAAGGCCCAGCTCCATGATAACACCAGCCCTATGCTGCTCGGCGGGGTGTGTCACCTGAACTTCCGAGCTCAAGACAGTCAGGAGGACACAAGGCACGGGCCAAGTTTAGCGAAGATTCCTGCTGCGGCCCGTAGATCATCGCCAGAGTGCTACACCAGCCATTGGTCAAAGCAAACAGTGCCATGACTGCAAAGGCCAACAGATCCTGGCCAGTGATCTCACTGTCACTACCCACAAATTCTGCAAAGGAAGTGCTCACTGCTGCTGACGAGTAGTGAGCACCGACGCCTGCCAGGGAGCTGCGATTGAGTTCGGTCTTCGCTGCAGCAGCATAAAGGCCTAGGGGCAAAGCAAGGCTGCAACATCCAAATATGCCACCGTTAATCCCCGACCTGTGATAGAGCACCATGCCATGACGACCACGACAACGACGGAACCACCATGGACCACCACGAGCCACCAGGAGGCCACGAGCAAAACCCGAGTGGAGCAGATGCGGGAATGACCGTGGACACCAGAAAAAAACACGACAAAACTAAAACACTAGCCAGGAGAGGCGACCATGTACTGACGCAGACACCTCACCACAGCGGTTCGTTGGTGGAACCTTCGAAAGGCATCTTGGGCGCCGCTTGCCCCCAGGCACTGGCGGGATTCAGAGATCCTCACCAAGGCGGCCGCGCGGCCACGCTGACCAAGTCTCTCGGCCCGTCGTGTATATCAAACTGTTTGGGGATTCAAGTAATCCGCTATGTGCACGAACATGGCCGTAGGTGCGATGCCAAGGCACTGGAATGAAGGCCAAACGCAGCCACACGGGAATGCCGAGCCTCTTCGGGGAAACTCCGATCTTCTCGAGCACCTGTCAAGCATGACGGCTCCGCAGACATGACTTGTAACTTGCCAGCAACTTTTCGCCCCTGCCTTGGGCGTCGACCGTCCGACCACATCAAATATCTGAAATATTCCAACCACAAGGGTTGTATACCAGTCCTTACCCAAAGCACCTGAGCTTCAACGAGCACTTGCCTGCCACAAGCTCGATCAAGATAAACCAATCAGTCGCCAAGATGCCTTTGCTGACGAAAAACTCCAGCTGTGGAGACCAGCTTGCGGCCACACCGGGGAACACCACAAAGGTCACCACCTTCACTGGTCACCAATACTTTTTGGAGGACGTCCTAAACAGTGTTGCACAGCTGCACAGTTCTTGACGGACTTAACACCGAAACAGCCGAAGTCACGAAAATCATCGTCACGTTCACGAGCTGAGGCATTACATCCTGAGGGAACGAGTGGATTTCGACAGAAGAGGTGCACGTGTGCGGATCTCCAGCCTTGAGGATGGGGCCGAACGAGCGCTCTCCGGAGATAAGTTGCCGAGCAGGGTCGGCTGGCTCCGAAGTGTTGAAAGAGCCTCGGCACCAAGCCCCATCCGGCGTGTCCGAGAGAGCCAAGTACCGCGTCTCGTTTCTGCTAGTGGACCGATGCTCACCACTTCCACCATCGTGGCGTCTGCGTGTCGGTTCTCCTTATCAGTGAGGATCGCTCAGAAGACTCAGCTCGAGTCGTCATTCTCGGCTTCATGTTCACGCGACAACAGGCCAGTCCTGGTGGAAGGTTGGCACATAGCGCACGAGGAACACGCCAAGGGCTTGCAATGCGGCACAGGTGCCAAAGAAGCAGAACACGACCTGTCCACCACATCAGCCACCCAAAACTGTCAATGACGTGTGCCCTGTGCATGGCAAATCTGCGGCTTTCGCCACCCGTTTGCAATTTTCCAGGAGGCTCTCCAGAGTATCACGCCCTACCACAAGTAGAGCTGACTCCGGTCCCCCGTGTCTGACCCCACTGATCGGTGCGATGGAAATGTGCACCTTGCTCCCTCAGTGTGCGCAAAGCGTCCTCCTTGTCTCTGGTGTCCATGTTAGTGTGACCGCCCTGTGTAGGCTGGCTTTGCACGCGTCACCCTCATCGGCAGGGCTTGTGCAGCAAAAAAGTTGCTGGGAGACGCCTCACCGAGAGATATTGGTGAACGGTGATGCAGCCCATCCCGCTGTCGTCACAGGTCAAGACGGCCCACCCTTTAACCGGCTGGCTACGCAATCCCCCCTCGGAGTCACTTGCGCGCCTGCCAGGTGACCAAGGTTACATCACACTAAAAGTGCGTCCAGAAACCACCAAATAGAGATAAAACATTCGGAATGTATTTCGACACGACGCTTTGCAAATCTTCCTGTGCGTCTTGATGCGACATGCAGTGTTTTTGCTGCAACCTATGACCATAGCATGCTTTTGCGGTGGGCGCCCCTCTCAAGCACTCTGATTGCTCGTGCTAGAGTGTTGCAACATGTTGTGGGTTCCGACTTGAGCCACAATGGCGTCTTGTTTGCTTGCTTGCTTCCAGCCCTAGAGAGCGGGAGGGCGAGGCCCCCGCGTGAACACGCGCAGCACAATGGCGTCTTCTTCATTACAGTCGAAGGGCGGCTTCGTTCGCTACCCCGCGCCGCATCGCGCACTGGAGGTAGAAAAGGTCCCAAGTGACACTCCGAACGATCAAGACTCAGTCACCGGTGCCCCCACCACAAACCACCTAGCTATTACCCCCAACCCGCCTTGAAGGCTAAGCGTACTCACACCCCGCCGGCCGACTGTTGACCACTGTCTCTAAACCTGAGCCGCTCACCGTACCAAATGCTGTACATCGTCAAGGCGCCTTCTTCCACACAGCCAAAAAAAGAGCACCCTCCCGCGCACGCATGCGCCCTGGTCTCCATGGTCTCTGCGTGAAAAGTCTGTAGGATGAGGATGGCTGTCACACAACTCTCGAACCCCATAAAACCCCCCACAGTGTCTCTCTCTCTCTCTCTCTCCCGCCCTCCCTCTTCCACTTTGTCGCTTGCCCTTGCGATCTGAGGCAAGATGAGAGGAGCCGGTGCACAAAGCTCCCTGCCTCGTATTTCCATTTCATGGGATCTCCAGATAAAAACTTCAGCGACAGCATCAATATGGGGGGAACTACCCCGACAATGCCTTCAGCTGTCTTTGGCTCATCTCATGCATGAATCTTCGCTTCTGCAAACCTCCCCGAGCCTTGCCCAGTCATGATGGCGCCCATAAGCTTCGGGTCTCCCGTGGACCCCGCAAGCCCGCAGATCAGAGATGTAAAGCAGGACTCCGCCAGACCCAATACCTGCAAACAGGAGAGATGGCAGAGACTGGGCGGCCCTATGCAACTCTCACGCAGTAACTCCGAATGTACTGTCTGTGAGTAGATTGAAAGGAGTTAGCCGTGAGGAGTGTCTTGCATGTTGGCAGCCTCACTAAGTTACTCCAAAAGTGGCGGTTTACAGCTAATCTGTGAGCTTGTAGAGAAGAAAACGGGAAGGTAGGGCTTCGGGTGGGAGGTTGCCGGGAGGACTTTAAAAGCCAGAGCCAAAGTAGTTTGGTACACTGTTCTGGACTCGCCTTCTACCTGGCCTGAGGCCTGCGCCCTCCGTTCCTCCTCTGTACTGAAAAGTATGTGAAAAGCGACAGTTCCGTTCTATACTCGTCGGATGGGATCGAAGAATGTGCCCGAAAAGCTTCAGTTGGGCTTTGTGAACGCGGTGTGTGAGGGGGGTTGCTCGGTGAGGGCGCGTGCCTCTTGGTTGGTGTAGGTGCGGGCTGTTGGCTGTAAAACTTGCGTGTAGTAAGTGCTTTTGAGGTGTCGGATTTTGCGGAGGCACTGTGAGTGGAATGCCTCCAGTCTGTTGTAGCCGCCGGTGGTGAGAGCTGCTGATTCTAACCCCTCTGTGACGAGTGGGATGAAAACTGCGTTGTAGATTCTGAGCTTCCACTTCGCCAGAACTGGTGTAGCGAGTGGAAGTGTTTTCGCGCCTTAGCGGGGCGGTGACGTCCTTGTGTGCTGATCCGTCGCTGCTGAGGATGACTCCAACGTACTTGGAGTGCTGTTCGATGGTGACAGGCGTGCCGTCGGTGAATGTGATGGTGTTGTGTGAGCTGGGTGAGCGTAAAAGAACGCACTTCTTGAGGTTAAGGTGCAGGTTGCTGTGGGAGGCCACGCTTTGAAGGGTGTGTGGCAGTTGCTCTGCTCTGGTGGCCGTGCCTGCTGGTGGAGCTATGTCCTCGGCATAGGCAAAGTCGTAGAAGGGCTGGTTTTGGCTATAAAGCCAAGGAAGGAACTCGCCGTTGGCTGTGAGTTCTGTGTCCACATCGTGCATAATCATCCCGTGTACCACCAGAAAAAGGTACGCTGAGAGTGGACATCACTGGCGAATGCCCGACTGCGCTGTTTCCTTGCTGCTGCTGCTGCTGCTGCGACCGGCTGCTGCCAGCGTGAACTGTGGGGAGGTGCAAATGTTTTTGATACGTGTCATAAAGTGGGAAGGAACTCCGAACCAAACTGGGTGTCTCGGAGTCGGTCGTCAATGGCCTTCTGCAGTCTTGTATGGAGGATCTTTGTGACAAGCTTGTATGATGTGCTGAAAAGGGAAATGGGGCGGTAGCTTGCTGAAGAGGGAAATGGGGCGGTAACTTGCTGGGTCTGTGAGTGAACCTTTGCCTTTGTAGATCTCGACAACTATGGCTTCGTGCCAGTCGTCGGGAATGGTGGCTGTGAGCAGGGCTTGGTTGAGCACTCTGAGAAGTGCTTGTTGGTAGTCTTGGTCTAGCCACTGCCAGGCCTCTGCTGGGAGGGTGTCTGGCCCGGGTGCTTTGTCACGCGTTAGCTGCTTAAGCGCTTCCTGAAGCCCATCCGTGGTGATGGGATCCAAGTCGACTGGGCCGGCGGGTGTATGGGGTCTGTGGGGCCGAATAATTGGTGGGTGGCTCTGCCCAGTGTGAGTCACGCAGGTATTCTGCGAATGTCTGAGCTTGCTGGGTCTGGCTGGTGGGCTTGCCCTGTGAGTCCCGTATTGAGACCGGTCGGGGCTTGTACTCAGAGCGCACCCTTTTGATCCATCGCCACTTGTGCCGTGCATCCAGGGTGGCCTCGCTTTCTGCCAGGCAATCCTTCAGCCACTGCGTTTTGTCTTTACGGGCTTGCTTGCGGATGTCTTTGTGTAGGCTTGCCTCTTCGTCGAGTCGCTGTGAGGCTCTTGCTGTGGAACGCTGTTGTATGAGGCTCCAGGTATCCTGTGAGATCCAGGGGTGCTTGGGTACCGGGCTGGCTGCAGGGATGTGTTCTTTGCTTGCCTGCGTGGTGGCTCGTTGCGACGCTTGCCAGAGCAGGTGGGCCTGCTGTTGCAGTGGGAGATGTGGAGCTGACTCTGAGTCGTCGGCGGGGTCTATGCTGTGTAGGTCTTGCTGCTTGATGTGCTCGTTGAGGGATTGTATCTGTGAGAGGGTGGGTTTTCTGGTGCGTCGCAGCTTTGGCGGTGTTCGCTTAGCCTCTTTGGTTCTAAGGAGGAGGTCGACTTTGAACCATGTAGTGGTTGCTGTTGAGTGCTGCACCCGGAATGGTGTGTATGTTGTGAACAATGTTGCGCCAATCTTTGTGTCCGATGGCGTGGTCCAGTTGAACCATGTCTCCATTGGGGCGCTTGTGCGTGTGTGTGTGTGTGTGTGTGTGTGTGTGTGTGAGTGTGTGAGTGTGT